TGTTTGATGTTTCAGTCGTGTGTTGTTTGGCGACTGTGCTCATGCGGAGGGGCGCAGGGTTTGCGATGTCGGGCTTGAAGACGAGGTAGGCCCCAGGATGAGACAAACGTTGCGCCCTTGCTTACATCCCATGGGGAATGCAACTGAGTTCTGCAATGCTGAGTGGGCACAAAGATTGCATGTCAGTGTTTGTGGAAGTGGTGAGGCATGCATGGAGACACACACAGACACATGTACCCACACACGCACGCACGCAGGCACGCAGGCACGCAATTGCGCATGCAGTCTCACACACTTACACACGCACAGGCATAAACACACACACACACAAAAAAAAATCAACAACATGCACACAGGCATGCACCGCAGGCATGCACCGCAGCCACGCACGCACAGACACATTGTTGCGGCGATGGCTTTTGCGTGGACGGAAAGTCGTGAGATAGGGGTGCCGTGGAATTAGGCACGTACACAATGGTAGGGCATGCTTTTTTCGGTGCGGTTGCAAGTTGAGAGATTGACACACCTACTGGTGATTTGATGCTAAGCTTAGAAGTGTGTCTAAGGTGCAGGCTGCAGTGTGTTTGTAAGAGTTTGGCGTGACAGCTGCAAGATACGTTGGTTGATGAAGGTGGGCAGGCCAAGAATGGGCCAGTGCCGATTGCTGGCGCAAGGATGACAAGAAACGCTGCGCCCGCTGACGCCTTTTGGCTGTGCGGAAAGAGCGTGTACTGCAAGCTGCAATTGCAGTCCTGAGTGGGCGAAGAGGTCGAGGAAGCCTCACTTACGCACAGCTCAGCTGACTTTGTTTGATGTTTCAGTCGTGTGTTGTTTGGCGACTGTGCTCATGCGGAGGGGCGCAGGGCATGCCATGTCGGGCTTGAAGACGAGGTAGGCTCCAGGATGAGACAAGCGTTGCGCCCTTGCTTACATCCCATGGGGAATGCAACTGAGTTCTGCAATGCTGAGTGGGCACAAAGATTGCATGTCAGTGTTTGTGGAAGTGGTGAGGCATGCATGGAGACACACACAGACACATGTACCCACACACGCACGCACGCAGGCACGCAGGCACGCAATTGCGCATGCAGTCTCACACACTTACACACGCACAGGCATAAACACACACACACACAAAACCAAAAAAAACACGCATGCACCGCAGGCACGCACCGCAGCCACGCACGCACAGACACATTGTTGCGGCGATGGCTTTTGCGTGGACGGAAAGTCGTGAGATAGGGGTGCCGTGGAATTAGGCACGTACACAATGGTAGGGCATGCTTTTTTCGGTGCGGTTGCAAGTTGAGAGATTGACACACCTACTGGTGATTTGATGCTAAGCTTAGAAGTGTGTCTAAGGTGCAGGCTGCAGTGTGTTTGTAAGAGTTTGGCGTGACAGCTGCAAGATACGTTGGTTGATGAAGGTGGGCAGGCCAAGAATGGGCCAGTGCCGATTGCTGGCGCAAGGATGACAAGAAACGCTGCGCCCGCTGACGCCTTTTGGCTGTGCGGAAAGAGCGTGTACTGCAAGCTGCAATTGCAGTCCTGAGTGGGCGAAGAGGTCGAGGAAGCCTCACTTACGCACAGCTCAGCTGACTTTGTTTGATGTTTCAGTCGTGTGTTGTTTGGCGACTGTGCTCATGCGGAGGGGCGCAGGGCATGCCATGTCGGGCTTGAAGACGAGGTAGGCTCCAGGATGAGACAAGCGTTGCGCCCTTGCTTACATCCCATGGGGAATGCAACTGAGTTCTGCAATGCTGAGTGGGCACAAAGATTGCATGTCAGTGTTTGTGGAAGTGGTGAGGCATGCATGGAGACACACACAGATGTACCCACACACGCACGCACGCACGCACGCAGGCACGCAATTGCGCATGCAATCTCACACACTTACACACGCACAGGCATAAACACACACACACAAAACAAAACCACGCATGCACCGCAGGCACGCACCGCAGCCACGCATGCACAGACACATTGTTGCGGCAATGGCTTTTGCGTGGACGGAAAGTCGTGAGATAGGGGTGCCGTGGAATTAGGCACGTACACAATGGTAGGGCATGCTTTTTTCGGTGCGGTTGCAAGTTGAGAGATTGACACCTACTGGTGATTTGATGCTAAGCTTAGAAGTGTGTCTAAGGTGCAGGCTGCAGTGTGTTTGTAAGAGTTTGGCGTGACAGCTGCAAGATACGTTGGTTGATGAAGGTGGGCAGGCCAAGAATGGGCCAGTGCCGATTGCTGGCGCAGGGAGCTTGGATTGAAAGTCGAGACGCAGTGATACTTTGTGATCATGTAGCTTTAAGACTTAAGACGACTCATTCAGTGCGAGTGCGGGGTTTTGACACAGCTGAATGGCATCTTGAACAGTTCATTTTCAGCCAAAGGAAACTGCTTGTCATCCACTCCTAAACACCAGCATTGATTGCCCTAAGAGAACAACATCCCTGTGGAATAGCTTCATTGCAAGCTCCCCTTCTTGCATTCCATGGCTGCCCGGAAAAATCGCAGCTGCGGAATGCGCGTTTGGGGCTGATTGGGCCTTCCTGCTGTGAGATGTTCCGCTATGTCCACCCCCTCCGACTCACAACATTCAGGGCTTGGTTCTTCAGACAGAGATGCCTCCAGGACGTTATTCCAATGTTACATCCAAGATTCGAAATGGGCCACAGGTCGGTTCCGTTTTTGTTTCCTTAAAGCGAGCAAAGTGTGGCTCTGGCTCTTTTATCCTTTTAGGTGTTCCATTGTTTGGTTTGCTTACCCTTACCCTTTTCATTTATCCTGTTTTCGATTTTTTCCCGAGTGTGTGTGTTCCTTTGGGAGTGGGTCTGCTTGGGGCCTGCTTGAGGTGGACACCAGGCAGCTGGGAGCCACGGAGATCATTTGGCTTGCAAACTTGCCGCGGGCTGAGTGCTGAACCACCTGGAGAGGTCAAGAGACCCTCGGTGTTGGTCGGGATGGTCATGGACCTGTGAGAGAACTTGCGCATCTCTTGCAAAGGTTCCTAAGGGAACCATGAGCATGACCATGTTCCCCATGAGGAGTTTTGACCATGGCACAAGTATGTGTGTGTGTCATTGTGTGTGTGTGTGTGTTTGTTTTTTGAAGGCATTTGTTTGGGGCGGTTTTAGCAATTGAAAGATGATTGCCATCAGGAAATCGGGGTTGCTCACCAAATGAGATGACACAAGAAATACTGGCCATGGCTCATATAAGCAACAGAGACAATTACTGGTCTAGGGTCAGCTTGGGGAGGACAGGGGGGCGGGTGGGGGATGGGGCCCGCCAATTTGCCAACGTCCTCCTTGGGAAACACCAGTGAACTTGCTTGGGGCTCATTTCTGTCAAGATGTGTCAATGGTTTAATCCAAAATGGCTGGTGGAAATAGATGATGCACACCACAGGGTCTCCAATGAGAACTCTATGGTTTGTCTAAAAAGGAGAGAATGGAACCCCGCCATGAGGCCGTATTCCTCTTGTTTACCAAGAAAGAGTTGCCCACAGAAAGACCCCTGTTTTATTCCCCTTTTCGAAGGATGACGTATTGCACTCATAAGGTGTTTGGGGGGGGGATGGTGCAAGCCTATCGCACAGTACTGGAGGTTGATATAAGCCATGGGCTTTTTGGGCATGCTTAGCGCTGTTTTAATCCTCGCTGACACTGAAATCACTTTCCAGTACTGGCGTCTCCAGACCAGCAACTGACAATACTGGGAGTCTATGGTTCGTGTGGGCAGACATGGGGGCCTTATCCAAATTTCTCACACAAACCGATCGGATCTTGCTTTGTTGGGGACTCAGATGCCTGCCTCTGACATGTTGGGATCGTCACGGGCAGGCGCTTCCCGGACGAGACAGTGGATGCCATCAACGCCTTCCTTGAAGAGCATTGCGACTCGGTCGAAGCTTGTTCAAATGGACTCATGGACTGATGGAATTTTCAGGGAGGTTTTGGTCCAAGGGCAACCCTATGGCCGGAAAAGAGCTTCGCCCTACCACTCTTGGAGCCACCCACCCTTTTGCATGGGTCGCACCTCCCAAGTGGCTGGCATCATAGCATGAGCTTCACAGCCAAGGTCGCGATATCCCCCCAAACAATGGGAGTGAAGCATGAGTATTCCCAAATCCGGGCGCCAAACAAAAACAGTTGGCTTCATCCTCCCAATTGGGTTTGCCTGTTTGCAGGGAACTCCAAAACTAAGTCCCTTCGAAAGAGCACCGACAAGCGCACTGAAGACTCCATGAGCCTGGAAGAGCACCTCTCGCAGGTGCTCGCGAGGTGGATGCTGTGGCAGCGGGCACAGAGTCAGCTTGCAGGTCAGCTGTTGGGCTGAAGTGACCGGGTGCTTGCCAGTATGAGCAACAGTCAATATTTGCAGTTTACTCTCTTACTGTCGCAAAGGAGATGCCCATGGCGCACACTCAACAAAATGCCATTAGGAAATGCTTGTTCACGAGAATCTCGGGGACACAATGAATCTTGTCTGCGTCTTATATGGCTCGGAATCTGACTTGGAACACCCTTCGAAATCGATGACAGAATTGATCCCCAATGTAATGATGCCCACTCACGGGTCCAATTGAAACTCATACCCATATGACTATATACAATGATGTGGGCAACAGACAACACTACTGGGGCATGGGTTTGATCTGCTATAGTCCCCTGGAGGTGCCCTGGAGGTGTTGCAGATTGAACGGGGGAGGTATCGGTTGCCAATGGTCCCGTTGTGATAATATTAAGTGGCAGTCATAATCACCGTTCACAGGAAGCCGGGAGACATGTGCGGCATAAACCCTCCACTATCACTGCGCATGGGAATGGCTTGTGACGCAAGCAGAATACTGTGTTCGACATTTATCATCTGAGAAATCATTCATGTCAGCTGTCCAAGCGATGTCCGAGACTGAGTTGCTCCGAGCTGCTTGGACTTGATCAAACCCCAAAGTCGAATATGTAGGTTCCCTGGGCAGCGGTGGCCCATTCCCTTTCAGGGCTCTACCATTCTTGGCATAGATATGGATGTTCATGACATTGGCTCGAGCAAATCAGAGCAGACTCTGGTGGTTGTTGCAGGTCTTCACTACTAAGTCATGATCCAAACCAGAACCTGCGGAGGTCTACAACACTTATGGGAAGGATCAATTAACAAGTGCTATGTATGGCGGAGTCCGTGTCCCATTCGCTCATGTCCTTACCCTCGACCCAGGCTCAATTCTGGCTGTCATGTGCAAGTAACTTTCCCTGGTCTTTGGGCAACATGTTGAGCGACTGCCAGAGGGTCAATTTGCTTTGACTCTGGTTGAACCCAGCCAGTGATTTTTCGTGGCGTTGCCGAGGTCGCCACGCTGCGGGAGTGCTCCTTCCAACGCAGCCACGAGATGTGGACGGAGCAGGACCGCCAAGCGCAAACTGACCCCTCCACGAATTGATCCATCAGTGTGGTTCAGGTTGGAAATGGGCTCAGCTTGAGTCTGGCCACTTGTGATCTGACCGCAGAGCTCGTTGGCACTTCGAGTTGCACAGCCCAGAAGCGGAGCCGTGCCTGTTCTGGATTTTGTATTTTTCTTTTCCGCGAGGCTTCAGTGGTTGGCTCATGCCACTTAAGGCCTCAGGCTTGCATTCAAGCACGAAGGGCCTTAGGGCATGTATGACTTTGCGCACGCCCTGCAAGTTCACCTTTGGTTGACACCTTCAGAGCGCGCTGGTTGCGGGGACTTTGGGCACGCGCTCCACATGATTATCCAAGCAATTCTTGGCCAGCTGGAAACCACCACCAGTCTTTCGACGGATCGGGGCGCAGCCGTTCTTCGTCATTAGGTGTATTAAGAGCAAATCTGCGGGCTGGTTTTGCTGAATCAAATGAATTGTTTAGGGCCACCGGGTCAAAACAAGACCCTCGGAAAGTAAGCGGACGGTGGACAGAGAGCCGAAAGCCCTTGACACCTGTTGACGCAGGTTTCGATGAGCTGGAATCCAGCTGGCTGGCCTGTCTTCTGCTACTACCTGCCTGCGGAGCCAAAAGTGCTTGCGGCCCATGCCTTGCCGCGTGTTCTTTCATTTTTTTTTGGACATGCAAGGGAAAAATGGCATGAAGCGGTTCTGTGCACTTGTTTGTGTGGTTTCGAACTAGGTAACCATGTTGTTGGTGCGGGGGAAGGGGCACTGGCGTGAAACCCACGTGTTCATGGCTATGCTTCTCGACGCGCTGCCATGCCATGGGCCGACCATTGATTGGTACCGTGTATGCAGGAAAGGAGAACGGAATGAAGAAATGAAGGACTCATGGCCTTGGAAGCAGAGCGACCCTATACAGAGGGATCTGATTTCTCTGTTTGTTGTGACGTGTGAGCACAAGCTGTGCTGCAGCCTGAAAGTGGATCTAGGGCTTCAACCTGATCGATACTGCGTTTAAGTCATCGCACATTGCTTCACGTGTTCACAGACACAGAGACCGCTTCTCGGTTAAACGCCTGCTGGCCCCGGCCCTGCCCTGAGCTCGCTGCGTTGCATCCGGCTGCGCTGCCGCAGCCTGCCTGTGCCAGTCTTCCATCATGAAGCTGCACGTGGGAATCCCATTGAGCTGCTTCCTGGAAAATCGGCCTTCCTTTGCTTGTCTGCATGGGAACAATTGGTACCAGAAGTTGCACCATTTACTCATGCAAACATTTGTTCTACCTTTGAACTTGTTCCAAACCTGTTTGATGTGTAAACAGCTTTTGTGGGTGGGCTAATGATGAATGCTATGCATGTAATTTCTCAACTGGGTGAGGCGACCGCGATTTGCGAGTTCTTTCCCTTGGCACGTTGCATGTACATGATTGGAACTGAAGGGCAAGATTGACTGCGCGGAGACATCAGAGACGCGGGAAGGGGGTGTTCTCTTTTTGTTGCTTTCAAGGTTTCACCTGCCAAGTTGCTTTTGAAAGATATCTTGTCCGAGTTGTGTGTTTGTCCCAATCTCTCCACGATCCGAGGTCAGCATGGCAGCGGTTGCCTTTGTCACTGCGCCATCAGGCAAGCTGTGCTGTTCTGCGCGCTTGCTGCTCAGCATGTGATTTGCATTGGCGTGGCCGGTCATTGGTTTGCGTCGTCCTGATCTGGGGAAGCACCCAACGGACACGGGAAGGTTGGAGGGCTTGGTGCAAGATGTTGATGTATTCTCCAAAGTGGAGGAAGCTTTAGAAGTCAACTTGAAAGCGTGCACCCATATTCCCGAAAAATGTTGGAAACCATTCAGAGTTGTGTTGGCAATGAGCAAGCATACAGGCATTGGTCCATAAAGCTAGCCGTTTTGGGTTGGTGTTAGTGACCCTGGGTGTTTTGTACTGGCCGCCTTGCGCCTGACCCGTATTGTCAAAAGCAAAGCGCACGAATGAAATTGGCCTCAGGGGGGGGGGTGAAGATGCAGGCACCCAAAAGGGGCAGGATAAATGCGTAGAACAGCAACCGTGAATTTCTCTCCGGGACACCAAGTTGCCGTGTGATGGCTTAATCATGGGAAATCACCCCCCAAAGGGTCCGACATGGCGAGTGCGGTGCCTGCGGGGATTGCTTGGACTCGGACAAAATCATCATGTGTTGTCAAGGGCTGGAGTCCTGAGCGCGTGACTGCGGTATTCTACCCGCATGTCACACTACAACTTAGTAGCAATGCTCAGGCATCCAGAGCGAGAATCTGGGTGATTTGGAAGTTTCCAACTGCCTTTTTTCCGGGTATGTGTCAAAGTTGTTGGACTCTTTTCTTTTAAGACTTCACCGCACGCTTCCAGCTGCCTTGATCCCCAGTCGGAAGCATATTCAAAGTCGCTTGCAGGCGTGTGGCATCACAGCCCAGCATTCAGGCACAGCTCGTTTGCCGGCAGGGGGCCCTGAAAAGACTGGCCCGGTTGGGGCAACTTGGAAGACCCACTTTTACGGGAGCCCGAACAAGTTTGGAATTGTGACTCCTTGGCTCAAGGACTTAATCAGATTACCCAGAGGTGCAGCAACTGCTCAATCTACTGGCATGTGCCACCCCGTTCTGCCTAAGCTTTGTGGCCACCCCGTAAACCCCGCTCGATTTATGAGATGATCATCCGAGCGTTGCCCTTCCTCCAAGTGCAGAGACAACCGACGTATTGAAGACAGCCATTTGGATGCCATGGTGATGTTTGGTGTTGGAAGGGAGTTGCGGGAAGTGGACAAAACGTTGAACACGTCTGTTTCTGCAGCATTCTGCCTGGCATGTTGACGCCATCCCCGGAACCGTGCATAGATGTCCCAATTCCCTCGGTATGTTTCAACAGGCTGCGCCATGATTTGGAGGAACTGCAGATATTGGGGTGGTTGACAAGACTGAATCCCTTGTGAGGTTCCTCTCTTGTGCGGTGTCACCAGACCGGCTCGGCTGTCGCGCCAGGTCTGGTAGGCCAGAAGGCCCCTCGGCCTGCGGCGCCGTCGGTGAGAAAGCCGCCTGGTGCGGAGCGCTGGCGCTGGCGCTGTGCCAAAGATCGCCCGGAGCTCGGAGCCGCGAGCGGGTCGTGAGGAGAGGCTTGCGCCATTCGCGAAGTTGCCCAAATGACGCCGGCGGCCTCCCGCAAAAAAAGTTGGGCGGCGGAATGCCGAAGGTTCCGTTTGGCTATCAACCATTATCTCAGACTAGGGTAGACCAGGGAAGGTTTCTACTGCACTTGGTCAAGGGACACCCGTAACTGTTCCATCATGATGACATGGTGATTTGGGAATGGGGATGGCCTTCGAGACCTTGAGAATGCTGGCAGACAGCCTGTACAAGTTTTCCTTGTGAGGGACTCACATTAGGGGGCCCTTGCTGGATGGAGACTCTCCGGAGATCAACTATTGCGGAAGTCAACCACCCCTGATTCTTTGCGTCTTCCTTGAGGTGTATATGTCATGGTGGGTGTTCCTTCGGTTTCTCTTTATATAAGCCATTCCCAGGAGGATACCCATACGGACAATCATGGACTCCTGTCCATGGGCACCCGGTTGACCTGCGCGCACCCGAGGCGCCAACATCGCACCTTGCGCCGGGCCACGGTGTTCATCGATGGGGACCGATCCTGGGAAGTCAATGGCATCACAGTCGCTTTCGGACCGTCCCAAGATATGTTGGACATGAAAGCGATGAAAGTCGAATGATGTGGTGCGGTATGGTACTGTCGTCGGAAGGGCAGCACTCATACCTTTGCGCCATTTCTTGACGGCAGATTGCCCATGCCTAGCGTTGCCAGTGCATCCCCTTTTTTCGTTGGCTCTTCATGCCATCCCTGAGATGGCGAAGTCGGCGATTTCCAAAGGTGTGGTGGGGTCGTTGTAGATGTTGCACTTTAGTGCCTTCACAAGTTCCCAAAGGTGCTCCGAACGCTGAGAGTACCTCGAATGCTGAGACTTGTGAGGAGAGCCAGTTTTCCAGGCTACCAGGAGAAAGGGATGGTCAGGCTCCCTTGAAGTGAAGACGGAGACCACAATGCTTACCACTACATGAACTACACCCTTCCCTCGCTTAACTCGTCAACTCAATCCCTCTCGCCAAGAAAGGGAGTGCAAGCCATATTGCGCCAGAAGAAAGCATATAATATACAACCAGTAGTACGTACGGGCAACCCATGGTTGTGGGAACATAAGAACTCCAATACCCCTTCAGATAGGATCCTTGCTTTCGAGGACCTGGAGTGTAAGCGGTAGCCTGCACTAATTTCGCGCCTCCTGGTTCGACCCCTGAAATGAGCCTCCCATCCACTATCATCCACTCACACGGAACCTGATTGCTGGGTCCTTGAAGACCATTCGCCTGAAAAACCGGACCTTCCGTTGGGTTCCATATTGGCGGACGGGAGGGTACCTTCGCGGCCGAGAGGAAGCTGGCACCACTGGACTGCAGGCCGGGGTGCTCGAATCGGGATACATTGGGAAAGCGGTGCGCATGGAGTGCCAAACTTGAAGCTGTCGTTCCGTGTGACCTTTTCGCCGTTTTCGCCTTTTAAAATACGACCTTTGCCCTCCTTTGATTCACTTCTTGGGCAGTTTTCTGTTTCCCCCCCCCCGACAAGAAGAGGGGTTGACCAACCAACCCAGTCATGCTCCCAGAAAAGACTGGACCGCGGCCAGCCTGGGTCCAAATTGTTGGTTTCCTTTGGGGTGTTGCTCAACACGACCCATGGAATTTCCCTGCGTCCGCACACACACACAAAACCAGAACTGCTAATTGTTTTCTTGATTGGATGTGATTGGATTTTTGGCCTCTGAGTGCATGCAACTGCGGTGGAGGACGTGCTGAACTTCGAATGGAATAGAAGGAACTGTCTGTGTGTGTGCGCGCACACTGCAAGCGGTTGCCTTGACTTGATCAGGAAGCTTTCGACTTGTGCCGTGTCTCTGGTCGTCTCCTGTATGCCAAGCGCGGCGTTTCAGACATCGCATTGAAAGAAATGAGCCGCTCGCGACCTGATGCTTCGAAAGGTTCCACGGAGCAACTGTCAGCATGTAACATCATCTGCTGCCTTAAGAGGAATGACATTCGGGGGCCTGCCTGTTCTCCCAAGCTGTGAATGCAGATGATGGACGACTTGCCACGTGCACAGTGCATATCAGCAATGGAATGTTTTTCAAACAGATCCGTACACGTTGTTTGCCATGTAACTTGGCCAACCACCATGATGAGTGTGATGGTGATGATGATGATGATGATGATGATGAGGATGAGGATGAGGATGAGGATGAGGATGCGTGGCACAAGTAGCCAGCACCATCGCCGTCGTCGTCGCCGCCGTCGTCGTCGTCGTCGTCGTCGTGATCCTCAGCATCATCAGCATCAGCATCATCATCATCATCATCATCATCATCATCATCATCATCATCATCGTCGTCGTCGTCGTCGTCGTCGTCGTCGTCGTCGTCATCGTCATCATCCTCATCCTCATCATCCTCATATCATCGTCGTCGCAATTGTCATCGTCATCGTCGTGGTCATTATCACCGTCACCATCATCCACAACTCGTTGCAATTGATGTGCCTGCCACTCCATTTTACGGCTTGGAAGAAGCCGTCTGAGGTCCCTACTGTCCCTACGGCCATTTCCCCAGGATTTTGAAGTTCCCTTGCAAAAATTATTGAGAGGGGTCGAATTTTCACACCATTTGAATTCCAGGCATGTTCTGTCAGGTTGAATGTTTGCGGAGAAGATTTGGATCCTCAGGCCTGATTCTTTTTTGAAGGCCGGGCGCCATTCGCCCGGGCTACTGAAACTCAGAAGGAACCTCCACACACCCACAAAGCCGGGGGCTGCGGTTCTGGTTGGAATTGGTTGGCGCGTTTGGGTAGCACAGGTCCGGGAACGACTGGAAAAGCACCCAGAGATCCAGATCCTGAGCTTGGATGCGGACAAGCGCAAGGTGCAAGAGGGAATTTCGCAGGCACCAGGCCGTTCAGGCGGGTCAATACCAGGCGGTTGCGAACTCCAAACGAAACATGATCGGTGTTTGGATTGCCCCAAACGAAACATGATCGGTGTCTGGATTGCCCCATCCGAAACGGCGAATCCCTTTCAGTTCCCACCGTAGGGATTCTTTCACATGCCCAAGTCTTCACAAATGCGCGGATTCCCCAAATCTGCTGCCTTAGTGCCGCAGTGCCTTCCCAAAGCTTAGAGGGCATCGGCCACCAGCTTTTGCTTGGCTGATTCCGCCAATTCTGGCTGGCGGCATTCGCTACGCCAAGGTGTTTCTTGAGGCACCGCATGAAGGGAGCACCCCTGAGGTAGTATTGGTCAGTGATCGGCTTTGGAGAAAGTGCAGGTTTTGCATGGTTTTGCATCGAGGAGTCTTGGTTGAGCGAATCTTTGTATGAAACGACCAGAAGAAGTCAATCTGGTTGCAGGTTCCTGTTTCCTTTGCGGAAATCCCTCCCCTGCACAGTTATGTAAAATCCGAAAAGCGGGTCCAATCCATACCAGGAGATTCAACTATAGAGTTCCATCTCCATTTCCGGGACAGTTCTCATGGCTTTCCCGCAACAAAATCTCCTCAGATTTCCAGGAACCGGCCAAATCTTTGATTTTCCGTTGGCCATTGGTCTGTGCATGCCCTTGGTTCGTTTGTTTGGCGGGTACACATGTAGAGGAAACCCGCCATTTGTAGGGGTACCTGGGGGTGCCCGAATTTATGGAACATCCATGTGGTAACTACAAGGCTGGATATGAACCGGCTAAGGGCCTAAGACAGAAGTCGGGAGACAGGCGCACCAGTTTCAGTGCCTTGCAGTCACACCCGCAACGCAGTTTTTGTTTTGCTCACAAGATCCTGGCACATTGTGGAACAGGAGCTACTCATACCCATTTTGGGGGTCACATGGGTACACCGTTCACAAGCGCCTCGACTTTCCTGGCGCGGACAGGACGAGGATGCTCGCAAAGAGGCGCTGCAGACCGCCGACGCTGCAGTGGGGGTGCCCAGCGCAACCGTCGGCATTGGGATGTTCTAAGCGGAACCCACCTATTGCAGGGCCCTGTTGCGTCCTTTGATTCTTTTGGCTGCAAAAGCTACGTTTGGCTGAAGAGGGGGGGGGGGAGAAACTGGCTTGGCCCCTTCTCCGAATCCTACAAGGAACCCCTTCTGAGAAGCTTCCAACAAAATGCTTGGCCATTCGTTTCGTCCCGAGGAAAACTCGCCTCACACTCGCTTCGCCCCTCGCTTGTTTGGAGCAACCTCAAAAGAAGCCTTCAAACTTTCATCTGGCATTCGATTTGAGCAACTGACAGCTTGCGACCATTGGTGGGCAGCATCCAATGGGGCTTTCTCAAAAAAGCTGAACCTTTTTGCACCGATTTAAGGGGGAACCAAAAGGACACGACATGCCATTTTGGGGCATGTCCCCAAGCCTTCAAACTGCATGTGAGGGGTTGAACCGAGGTAAATCCCCATGAGGGGGCGCAAACTCATTTAAGAGTCCTGCCACCCATGAATCGCCATACTCAGAAACATACATGCGCTTCCTGAACCGGCAATGAGGGAAAACAAGGTGAACCCACCGAAGGGAAGTCCCCAACCCACAAATCAAGCTACGGGCCATATTCGCTGCGGTTCTCAAAATTGGAAACCCCCAAAAGGGTAGTGCTCCCCTTAGGCGCCGCCGGTGCACGAGCGTTGGTGGGGAATGGTTTTTAACCAGGGCTGGTTTTTCACCAGCGCTGTGCTTGCTTATGGCTGCAACATCCCGGTATCAGCTGGACCAGGTTGGGCTGCAACCCAACAAAACTCACTTACCCACAACCTAAAGTGACCGCAAAGCCACTGCTAAACTGGCCACGCTACGTCACTACGTTGCACAGATCAACTCCGTGCCAACCCAAACAACCCAAACAACCCAAACCCACCCAACAGCGAGCCTAAATGAGCCACAAACCAACCCAAGGCCCGCAGTCATTAAGATCTCATAGGCAGCCTTAAGCTCACTCTAAACCAAGCCCCAGGTCCAATAAATGAGGCTGGTGGTGCTGGGATGCGGGCAACCAAGCAAGCCGCAAACCAACCAGACAGACCAGCCCTAGTGAAAACACCCAAGAAAACAGTTCATCCGGGCATCGTTCCTTCAATTCTGTTCAATTCCTCTAATTGAAGGAGGCTGAAGGCACACTTATGACTTATCCACAGTATGCAGTGGAGTATCCTGGGGTGAAACAAGACAGCCGAATCTTGCTCTTCAGACCGGGTCATTCCTGTTGATTGCTGACATATCACTCACTGCATTACTTTTGCTTTGAATCGACGTATTCGACCAGTGAACCGTTCCTTTCAGTACCCTTCCACCAAACAGCGTAGACCTGCACAGGCCCCTTTTGGATTGTGACTTCCCTTTTCTTAAGGCAGACTGCTGCCCCAAACCATTGGGCCAAGTGTGGCTTGAATCTGCTTTCAGGTCCTTTGTTTGCCTGATGATGCTGCCATTGCAGCGGTGGCACTCGCGGAAGGCCGGGCCGAACGGCGCTGGGGCCGAAAGGGGTGAGCGCAAGCCGGTGCAAGCTTGCAGTTGGGTGAAAGATGGTGCAGTGTCCTACATGGTGTAGTCATCCCCTTTACCCACATCTACCCGGAACCGTGCCGTTTGCTGTCACCCTGGTGGATCGTGCTGTGAGGGGACAGGCGGAGGTCCACGCGCCTGAGATTAAAGCCAAGGGACAGTTGCACGTAAGTGCTCAGGTTCTGATACCGTCATTGTGGACGCCAGCACGGCGCATCGAGTTGCAGACGGCGCAAGCCTCAATGAGAGGGGGTTGCTCACCCAAGACTCGGGAAGTGTTAAGTGGAGGAACTGGACCCACGTGGCTTTGTGTAGTGAGTCCCCGTTCTGACGGCATCCCCAGTCCTCGAATCGGGAGTCTTGCTCTTAGGGTTGAACCCTGGGGAAGGCGGATGCTGCGTCATTTATGCGACAAGTCCTGCGGGTGATCTCTCAGACTCTGATGGCTTTGATGGCTTGTTGCAACAATTAGCCGCAAAGCTTGTGAGAGCCCAAGAGACAGGCACATGTGGCACATGCGGCGGGCGATTGCAGCGAGCGACTCGAGGACAATGCTCTTACTGTAGGTCGACCTGCAGCCATTGCTCTCGTGCCCATTGAACCGAAGGGATTTTTCTAGCGACACAGACTCCCGCCTGTTCCCAAAATCATAGCTTTTGGACTTGGCGTCAGCTGACATTGCCATCAGATCATCACTTGGCATGACAAATATGTTATTTCGTGATTCTCTGTTCAGGATTTTGGGAACGTGTGTTTGAATCGACACACGCAAATGGTACTGTACTACATGTGACTTTGCGAAGCCCTGCAGAGTCCTGCTGTTTGGCCGTGCTCAGGCTGGCTGTACGGCTTCCCCGAGCTGAGCCCGGATCAGGCCTGGGGTCCCGGTGTTGCGAGCCCAAAGCACGACATCCACAGCGGAGGCCGAGGCGATTGCGGAGGCCAAGCGCATCGCCAACCCGGGGTGCTACCCAACAGGCGGGGGTTTGCGGCGGTTTCGTTCAGTAGCCAGGGGATGTGTACGCCAAGTAGTGGAAAGGGCCGTACCCCACAAGGGAACAATCCCCATGAGCATTTTGTGGATACAAGAGGAACAACGCACGGAGGGGGCACTTTTTTTCTCAGTTGGGAATGGGATGAGTGCCAGGCTGTGTCTCAAGGTCAGCATGCTCCAAAGTGGGAACAGGGCAAGCATCACTCACTTTGAGTCAACACAAGTCTCTGTGCGAAGAAGCTAGCTCGCAGCCATCAGCCACCTCGGTTGTTTGGTCTCGCGCCATGACTGCGGCAGACGTGCCAAATGGCAAAGGGAAGGGCAAGGCCCCGCCGCTGCCCAAGGCCAAAGGAGCGTTGGGGGCGGCAAATTTGGGGCAATGCCTTTCCTCAAGCCATCATGGTATGATGGTGTGTCGTTGGGTTGCTTGCAGCGCAGCTAGTGTCGGATCTGGCGACCCTGGCTATTGTCAGGGAGGCTGCTGTAGAAGGAAACAGCACCAAACAGAAATCGCGTTTGAGAACCTAGAGGGTTGTAGGGTCACCATCCACTTGCAACAGCTCTGGCGGGTACTCAAAGAGGCCTATTGATGCAGCCTGAAGGGTCAATCAATCCCTTGACTCGTGTGGTTTGCCAAGCTGATGACCTTTGTGGGACAAAGATGAAGCACAATTCACCGCCCTCCAAATGCAACTATCACCCAAAGGGGTCGCCCATTTTGACGTATTGCCTTCTTTCAATGGGGTGAGCAGAACGTGCGCTAGGAGTGGGCAAGGGCTACAAGGCGGTGAAAGAGCCGGGCGAATCTCCGACGAAGGTGCCTTGGATTGGCTTGGCCTTGGCTGAGCCTGCAATGTCTTTTGAAAGATGAAGAATTGTTTGCAAGGGCCCGCCAGTGACATGGTGATAAGTGGTGGGATTTGATAGATACAATTTTTCTCAAAGCACCTCTTGCTTACGGTGGGGGTGCCTTCCCTCGCAAATGAGATCTGTGCCACTCGCGCTGCCCTACCCAAGCCGCAAGCAGACGAGGCGGGAAGTGGCCGGGGGCGAGGAGCGTGCGCAACAGATCAGGGTTGTCAGACTAGGGCTCCTTAAAGCATGCAAGTTGACCATTTGAAGCACAAATGGTCACGCCTGATAAGTAACGGGCTGCCCTTCAAGATCGCCAAGAGGTTTGAAAAAGCTCCCAAATCTGAGATTCATGGAGGACCCCCTGATTAATCTGGAACCCGTTCGGTCCTCATCCTTTTACTTTTGGCCGCTTCTCAGCCACTTGCACTGGACGCAGGCACCTCCAGCTTGGCCCCTTCTGGGCAATAGGACTTTCAATGGCAGCAGAAGTTGTTTTGTTGTTTTGAGCCCAACTTGGCCCGGATAAATCGCAGGTGCCAGCGGGGGGGGGGGGGGTTGTTGTTTTTCAGCTTGAACAAGTCATTTTAAACAAACTTTAGTGAAACACACATTTTGGGGGAACCACATTTTTGGGAAAACGTGTTGTATTGATGGGTTTAAGCACATGCTACACGAAAAGGAAAGCTCATTTTGTGTCAGGCTTTTTGACTTGGTGGCTGCAGGGGGTACCTTTATGGGGGGGGGGTTGGGGAGCCCACGAATGTTTTTTGTGCAAACCGTCGGCCCTTTATTTGTTTTATTGGTGGGAATCTGGGAGACAAACTGGGGACACCTTTGATCAGGGGGGCGGTGCCCATCGTGCACTGGCATAAATGCAACCACGATGGGTTCATGTTCAGGATATTGAAAGCATATTTTGCTAGAAGGCCCTAGGAACCCTTCCTGGGCAGTTGGACGGGGTTGTGTTATTGGTTCCCACTTCCGTGCAACAATTGATGTCATTGGGAAGGCCTTTGTGTGGTACTACAGAAACGGGCGATTCCTACAACCCTGCAACAATCCGCAACATACCGCAGCTTGGACGGGTTTGTTGGGCAAAGTGGGCGAAATTGCAAAATGCTCCTGAAGTTGGGCCGCCAGGAATTTGGCAATTAGGCGAATGGAGCGCCTCATTTGACATCGACATTGTGAAATGACTTAGGAGGTGCAGCATAAGTGGGAGCTCCGGTGACATCGCAGGGATCATTCAGCCAGAGTTTGCTCAGCCCCAAAGCGACTCGACCTTACGACCCTTGAGCTTCCTGGTACCTGCGGGCAAAACCCTTGTGCATCGGGCTATCCAGTTGCGCCTTTCCTTCTATACGCCACCTTTCGTTCAATACGTCATTCAATTGGTATTGAACAGGTTGTTGGTTTGTCGTTCAATGCCTGTAATACTGGATCATCAAATATTTCAGGAGACTGGTCTTTGTAGTCAACAGTGTTTTTAAAGCCATGTGATCGGTCCGAGCAGTCAACTGACACACACACACACACTCACACACAACACAGTCACACGGTCTGCTTCCGCAAATAGCCTCCCACTCCCGAGCAGCCCGTAGAATTGGTACCCTTGCGACTTCGGAAGATGTACGACCGCGAGCGATGTGAGAACTTTCGTAGTACGGATACTGGAGGAGACTGCGAAGGCAATGTTGACAAAAAGACGCAAGCGATCCACACCGGATTCTCCCAGCTGGCACACCACCACCACCACCACCACCACCACCACCACCACCACCACCACACCTCCACCACCTCCACCACCACCACCCTCCACCACCACTACCTCCACCACCTCCACCACCTCCACCACCACCACCACCACCACCTCCACCACCTCCACCACCTCCACCTCGAGCACTACTGCCACCACTGCTGACGCTAGCTTGGCGCTAGCGTTTTGAGATAAATGTTGTTTCTATTGCAGCCGTTGAGGCTGCCATTCAATACCTGTTGAACAAGTTCTGCCGTCCCCGTCTATTGAATTCTACTGCTTCACGCTGTCCCAGGGGCACGTTCAATAGCAAGGTTTTGACCATCACCCGTATCGGTCCCCATGCAGCCCACCACAGTGTCCAACCACAGAGCGCGCGAAACCTTGGCCGTTTTGGCCTAGCCGTCTCATAGAGTCTCAGTGGTTATAGTAAGGCCCATTTGGCCACGAATTTCAACAAGGCGCCCCTTCAAAAAGTGATCAGACAAGAATCCCCACCTACATGGTGTCCACCAAAGAGACCCCTAAAACTCCTAACAGACCCCTAAGACTCCTAGCTGTATGAGCCTTTACGATTTGGCGTGGCATCGAGAGGCGCTTCGCGCCTTGGCACGACTGCAGCGACCGGACGGCGCATGGGACGACTCAGAGGAGCTCACTGCCGCGCTCGGACCTCGGGGCGGGCGGGCGAAGGAAAGTGCAAGGCCGAGCCCGGGGGCTTGGGATGTGTCTGAAGCATAGGCTCCTTTCCAGCTGCGTAGGAAGCATGCGCGTATGGGTATAATAATCAGGCATTTATGTTGTTCCTGTTTGCTGGCGCAAATCACTGCTGGTTGAGAAAAGGTACGTACCCGTTTCCTTTTCTTGGGGAGTTGATTGAAATGGGAAGCCAAAGCCAAAGGGCAGGTTTCGCTTTTGCGAGTTCCCGAGTTTTCAAACAACCCCACTCAGCTGTCAGGAAACGTAGGTCAAGGCGCGTTTTGCTGAAAGGAACCTATCTCTTGGGTAACTTTGAGAACGGCAGAGCGATAGGCACCAAGTTTGTTGGTGGTTTGGTTGTCCTGTCAAATTCTGCAGGTGCGGGCCTTTCAGCTTGTTTTCCGTAAAACGGACACCGTGCGAAGCGCTATGCCACGCGCGGCGTGGCTCAGGTTGGGCCTGCGCCCGGACGCCCTGGTGCTGGAGAAGCTGCCAAAGCGGCCCAGCTTTGAGCTGGTCGCCACCGCGCTGGCGCGCCAGGCCAGATACGGATCGCTGACATTGCGGCAGTGGGGGACTGGGGGACTGGGGGACTGGAAAACATGGTGGAAGAGTCTTGTTATCTTGTTTTGGGGGACTCTCTTTGAAATTTGCAGGTGAGAAGCCGGTGTCCTCTAGAATGCTGGAAGTATCTGGAAGTCCAGGGTATCGAACTGATCCGAAGTTGCCAAGTGACGCCCAGCCCACGGAGTTTGGTCAGTTGAAAACACAAGTCCGGATTGAGGTGGCCTCAGTATGGTACCCACCAGAAGGCTTCTTTTGTGGCTGATCTCCTTCAAGCAGCTGGATCTTGGGATGTTGCAAGTTGTGTTTGGCATCCAGTCTTGCGTCTCTGTGTGTCACGTCGTTGCGTGTTGCGTCTCTCTCTCTCTCTCTCAGGCTTCCTTCAACTGCCGACAATTTAAGCAATACAATCTGCGAAGGCTGATCAGCGAGCATAAATATTTCAAGATGGATGCGTTAATTTAAGGAATTCACCGGTAAGGCATCGGCAACAAGTGGAGTTCGCTCCAGCCGCTCTGCGCTTCTGTTGAGCTCCTTTCCGCAGTCTGCGAGGGCTCGCTTTTGTGCCATCATCATGCCCTTCATTACCAGACCAAACTAGCCTTTTTGCCATTCGATTTCGAGTTCCCTCATTTGGACGTTTTTTGGCTCAAGTTGTGGGATGGTGTTTGTTAATTGTTTGGGGCTCGCCCATAAGAAACGGGACAAATTATTTTTCCGAATTGGCCGCCCTCACCCGCGGTGTGCCAGGCGGCAGCCTATCAGGCAGCCTGTGGTTCTTTGGAAGAACCAACACATTTACCCCTGACATGTGAAAGCATCGCTCATAGTCACTCGGGAAAACATAAGAAGAAGTGGTGAAACTGCCCGCATCAAACTTGGTTGTTTCTCCATTAGCTGTTGCTTCATAAGAAGCCCGCCACTTCAGGCTCAAATCCATTTCTTGTGGATATGGTTCTTGGTCATGCAAGGTGACTAAGCTTGCCCTGCGCTTTGTGCAAGGCGCTGGAACGCTGCTGCTCCATCCTTACTGCGGAACGCGTGGGACAGGGGGAGGATGAGAAGGTCGCTCGGGCAGCGGTGCTGGCAGCTCCCTGGCAAAAGAAAGAG